GATTTTCAGGAGAGAGGAAGTGAGACGGGATGTCTGGGGAAAAGCAAACACTTCACACTTCAAGGTGGACTGAAATTTCTCCCTTGCCCTGCCCCTCTTCTCCCATGACCCTTAAGATCCTTGATGCACCTTAGCTGAAGTACAGATCAAAGGGAGAGGGGTGACTCTTGACACAAACTGAAACCACCCCGTTGTTTAATTATCTCTTGATGCAAAACGCCAGGTCTTGCTTTGCTTCTCCATCAGTGGAGGCAGGTGGTTTAGTATCGCGGCATTTCTTTTCCGGGAGAGGTTTATATTACCTAACAGAGCAAGAGTGGGCCGATAATAGAAAATCTTGGACTCAGTTATACGTTTTGGAATGATTGACTTAATGACTCATTTTGGAGCCCACAAAATACTTTTTAAGCGTATGAAACGTAGGCATTACATTCTCAATTTAGAATCTGATGCTGGAGGACGTGGTAGACATTTTTCCAAAGAAGACATGTAGATGGCCAACAGACACATGAAAAAAGTGCTCAACGCCACTCATCATCAGGGAAACGCAGATTAAAACCACACTGAGATACCACCTCACACCTGTTAAAGTGGCTAAAATCAAAAACACGATAAGATAAGTAGCAAGTGTTGGCGAGGATGTGGAGAAAAAGGAACCCTTGTGTGTTGGTGGAAACGCGAACGGGTACAGCCACTGTGGAAAACGGTATGGAGGTCCCTCCAAAAATTGAAAAGAGAACTGCCATGTGACCCAGTCATTCCACTACTGAGTATTTCCCCAAAGACAATGAAAACACTACTTCTGAAAGCTGTACGCACCCCTATGTTTATTGGAGCATTATTTAGATAGCCAAGTAAGACCAAGTGTCCATCCACAGGTGAATGGATAAAAAAGACGTGGTACATATGTACGATGGAATAGTAGGCGGTCATAAAAAGAATGACCTGTTGCCATTTGCAACAACATGGATGAGTCTAAAGGGTATAATGCTAAGTGAAATACATCGGTCAGAGAAAGACAAGTACCATGATTTCACTCATATGTCGAATTTAAGAAACAAAACAAATGAACAAGCAAAGAAAAAAGAGAAGCAAAAAACCCGACTCTTAAATACAGAGAAGAAACTAAGGGTTTCCAGAGGGGAGGTGGGTAGGGAATGGGTGAAATAAAGTGGTTGGAGAATACACTTACCTTGATGAGCACTGAGAAATGCATAGAATTGTTGACTCGTATTGTACATCTGAAACTAACATAATACTGTATGTTAATGATACTGGAATAAAAAATATTTACTGAGGCAAAAAAAAGTAGAATCTGATGCTAACTGCATGTTTAGGCTTAAAAAAAAAAAAGGCCTACAATTAAATTGTCAAATTCACCTCTGGGCAGACTTACAATGTGCTCAGTTGGTTAAGCATCTGACGCTTGGTTTCAGCTCAGGTCATGGTCTTGCTGTTTCGTGAGTTCGAGCCTCGAGTTGGGTGCAAAGCCTCCTTGGTTTGCTACTTCCTCTCTGCCTCTCCCCTACTCTCTCATTCTCTCTAAATAAATAAATAAACTTAAAAAAATTTCTTTATTTTTTTATTTTTTCAAATCTGTATTTGATAGACAGAGAGACAGAGCAAACGAACTCTGGGAAGGGCAGAGAGAGACAGTGGCATCGGAAACAGGCTCCAGGCTCGAGCCATCAGCCCAGAGCCCGGCAGGGGCTTGAGCCTCCACCAGCCCATGGATCACAGATCGTGACCTGGCTGAGTGAGTCGACGACAGACCCACTGCTTACCCAGGCTTCTTGAAATAAATAGTCAAATTCCTTACTTACTCTAACATCAAACTAAAATATTCTCTGCTAAGTTCTGCTTGAGTATCCCCTTCCCTTTGTCAGCTTCAAGTTTTAGGAGCATGAAGAGTTTCAGTGAAGGCATTTCTGCTCAAGGATACAGTGAACACTTCTTATTGCAAGAGCGGGGGATACTTTATAAGCGTGAGTCCAAGTCCAAATGGAGGCCATAGCCAGAGAGGCAAAGAAAGAGCAGACTTTTAAGCCAAACCATCATGGACTACTTTCTGGCTTCGGTGATGTTGGGCTTCGGTGTCCTCCTCTGTAAAATTGACGTTCTGATATATTACAGGATCGTTGTGAGGATTGGTGATGATGTACATGGAGGAGGAAGCACACGGTCACTCTCTAAGTGATCCTGGGTAAAGATTATAATAACATCCTATTCTCAGAGCTATATCATATCATACCGTATTATGGCTCACCAATTAGCTCATCGTACTTTTTCAAAAAAATTTTTTAAGTTTATTTATTTATTTTGAAAGAGTGAGCAGGGGAGAGGCAGAGAGAGGGAGAGAGAGAATCCTAAGCAGGCTCTGCGCTATCAGCACAGAGCCTGATGTGGGGCTGGAACTCATGAACCGTTGAACTCATGAACCATGGAGATAATGACCTGAGCTGAAGTTGGAGATTTAACAGACTGAGCCACCCAAGTGCCCCATTACTTTTTTTTTTTTTTAATGTGTTTATATTTTTGAGAGAGAGAGAGGGAGGGAAGGGCAGGGGATCCAAAGTGGGGCTCAAACTCACGAGCCATGAGATCATGGCCTGAGCTGAAGTTGGACCCTTAATCTACTGAGCCACTCAGGTGCCTCTATGGCTCCCCAGTTAGTACCCTAATTTTAAAATGCAGTCCGGTAAATTTGTGGATCTTAAGAGTTGTGCTTTCACAACGCAGAGTACTAACCACTATACGATCACGGCTAGCGTTGTGCTTTCACATCCAGTGTTGACCCATCAATTAGATATTATGCTGGAAGTGAAGTATGCATGAAGT